TTCACAATTACATACTACAAGAAAAACATAAAATCTCATTACCATATCACAGATAGTTTGAGGAGGACTACACTACATTAATTCATTTGAAGCTAGGCATTTCTGACTGTAGCCATGTACATGCCCAGGCATTCTGATTTCCCAAGAGAGATCAGAAATTGAGATTTTCAGGTAAAAATACCTGGAAGTATTTTGAACGTCAGAAACCAAATAATTTTCTTTTAAAATCATCATTGCAATATTAATGATCCCAACTAGGCCCTAGATTAGGAGTGCGACCTTCTATTTCTCAATGTGTACATTAGGCAATAATACATTGACTATTATAAGGAACCATAAGAAATCTTTTCCAGAATCCTATTTGGATTCTGAAAAAGCCTTTTCTGAAAATTCAAGCTATCTCTCCCTGGCCACATCCTCCAGGAAATATTATGTTTAAAATGATCAGGAAAACAGGGCCTTCAAAATACTTCTGTGACCAAAGGTTGCCCTTGGTATGAGGCCAGCCTAAATCTGAGGCTTTGAGTTCATGCCAACACTAAGAGAGTGTTATCCTCAACTTCCCATTCAATACTTATGGGTGATATTTTATACTAAACTGAGCCATGTCAGACCCTGACTTACCCGGACACTGATGTGACCACAGACCTTGTTGGAAGACCTTTCCTTTGTTTGGGAAACATGCAGGCTATGACCTCAGCCTCTTGCTTATTCAGGTTTTAAGTTTCCTTCTCCCAACAGGGCACTGGTTGCCAATGGTGTCCTATCCATGGAACCTAAGGTAGAAGGAATCCTTCCTTACCATATCCACTTCCTGCTTTTCAGAAAAGCACAAAAGGCTTATACTTGAGTGGACTCATGCCTTCCCAAGGGCAGTGATTCTCACTCTTCTCCCATTCTTTTCTTGAGTGTAAAATTCCTTCCACATGTGGAAGGGACCACTGGAAGGGTGCTGGGTTAGGCTGATGCTATGTTGCTGTGGCCCCTGTGTGTCCTGTGAAACCCACAAGCACAGCTGAGCACAATGCACAAAGGGAGGGCGGTGTCCCTGATGATGCTCTCAAGCCCCTTGACTCTTCAGAGGCCTTACCAGCAGGGACTCTTGTAAGCTCAGCCTCCAAACTGCATGCCAGATATCAAACAGAGAGAGCTGAGAGAGCCTGGGAACCCTGGCTGCCTCCAGTCACAGTGAGCATTGATGTCACTTTTGCATGGACTATAAGGTGATGGCCTGACCACACAGAACTGCCCAGCCAATATGTTTAACTCACCTACTGTGGCTTTTCCCTCCATGAATAAATTCTTCTGTAATGATGTCCTGTGAAGTACTCAGGGGGCTGTGTTTTGGGCTACAATAACCCACAGCCACAAGCCAAATATGAAGCTTTTAAATATCAGACAGCTGTTTAACCAACATGTCCAGGTCTGAGTAAAATGACTAATTCCCTAGAAGCACTCACATTTCACTGAAGGACACTGGGCTAAGAGAAACTCAGGCCTTGGACAGAGAGATAATAAACCACAGTGAAGGGAGGAATGGATGTGTCCCAATCATGTGATCAGCTGAGGGAGACCCTCCACTTATAGCTCCTGGGGAAAGGCCAGCTTGCTACTTGAATAAGCAGCGGAGAAAGTAGTGAGCTTGGTCAAGGAGTGCTACATGGTTCTACAAGAAACCACCAAAATCTGCGGGTGGACATCTTGGCAATCAGATTTCTATTAATATAAGGTTCAGTGGGCATTATGTTGTCAAGAAAGTCTTCTGGACTTTTGCAAGTATATCTTCCAAAGAGCGCTATTACCTTCATTCTCAGGCCATTCCTGTGATTTAGCCAAAGGCCAAGCCAAATCCTTTTTCACAGACGCAGAGAGAGGGTGAGTGACCAGGAAGAAGCAGAGAGGAGACTGGAGTGTGGCCTACTTGCCATATCCATTGCCTCTTGGCTCCTTTCTCTGCTTGGCACTCTCCCATCTCTAAACAAGTAGAAGCAGAGGGTTGTTGTCACAGCCAGTGACCCCAGTGCCCAGTAAGTGACCTGGCACCAGGCAGCTGCACCATGGGAAGGCACACCTGAGCATGTGTGTGGCTAGAACAAGAAACAGATGCAGCTGTTTATTAATGGCTACCCTGGGCCTGTGCTGTGTGAAGCAGAAGTTTACAGGCACAGGTAGACTTATATTTGGGAAAACTAAAGATGGAGAGACTCTTCTCCCTCATCTTGAGCATGAGGAAACCTCTGATGAGAAGAAACATGAATGTCGAGGCCACCTGGCTAGAGAAGTGGTGCACTGGGATTCTGAAACCCAGATCCTCTGATTCTACTGTGGAAGCCAGCTGGCGCCATATCCATTGCCTCTTGGCTCCTTTCTCTGCTTGGCCACTCTCCCATCTCTAAACAAGTAGAAGCAGATGGTTGTTGTCACCAGCAGTGACCCCAGTGCCCAGTAAGTGACCTGGGCACCAGGCCCAGATGCACCATGGGAAGGCACACCTGAGCATGTGTGGCTAGAACAAGAAACAGATGCAGCTGTTTATTAATGGCTACCCTGGGCCTGTGCTGTGTGAAGCAGCAGTTTACAGGCACAGGTAGACTATATTTGGGAAAACTAAAGATGGAGAGACTCCTTCTCCCTCATCTTGAGCATGAGGAAACCCTCTGATGAGAAGAAACATGAATGTCGAAGGCCACCTGGCTAGAGAAGTGGTGCACTGGGATCTGAAACCCAGATCCTCTGATTCTACTGTGGAAGCCAGCTGGGCAGCCTCTGAGCCACCCTCTGTGAAAGGGCAGCAGGCAGCAGACTGTGGCACTCAGGGGCCGAATGAACAGTGAAAAACCTCAAATGTGAACACTCACAGGTGAGGGGCAGATGCTGCAACACTTGATATGAATCTTATTTCTAACTTAAAGCAGCAACCTGTGAGTGCTCATAAGGATCACATGTACCTTGTCAAACTGACCATAATTGGGTTTTGTACATTTCCTTATGGTATCACCATCACTCCTTAATCTTCATATGAACACCCCTGTCCCACTGAGTTTATGTCCACAGTTGCCACCTTTCTCCCACACCCACTGCCATTGCCTTCTGACCTGAGACCTTCCCTGCTATGAAAAGCCTTTACCACCACAGTCATGGTCTTCAGTGCCTCCCCAGTTGCCAGCATCACCCTGGGAATACAACATGCCTGGAGGTCCCCAGCCGTCTTTCTGGCCTCCCATGGCCAGAGCCCATGAGGACACCTTTTCTGCCCTGTACCTCAGCAGGCCTACATCCACCAGGGCCACTTGCCCACACTGTCCTTTGGAAACTACTCCCCTGAAATCACTGATTCAAAAAGCCCCAGAGTGACCACACTTCACCCCTCCAACCCTTCTTCTGGATGTCCCATGGACACCTCCCACTCAAAATCCGAAACTGAGAGGAGTCAGACCACTGGCATTGGTTTAATCAGTTTAATAAGACAGTTGATGGGCTGCCCAACCTATGGCCATTTGGGGGGCTGCATGAGGTTGTTGAAGAGATCCCACCAGCTGAGACCCAGGCATCATTGCTTCTTCTCGGGTTCGGGAACCTCACCATCTGAAGATTTGGCATCCTTCTTGAAATAAGTGATGGAGATGTGGTTGTTCTCAACCACGGTCTCCACGTGTTCCGGAGTGATGCGCCTTCTGCCCTGGCTGTGGGCCTCATTGCCAGCCAGCTCCAGGATGTTAGCGGTCAGATACTCCAGAATGGCAGCCAGGTCGGGGGTAGATGAGCTCAGCTCTGGCGTAATACACCTCTGTCGAGAAAAGCGGTCCACACGGCTTAACGGGAACTGTAATTCGGCTCTTGTGGAGCGCGATATGGGCTCGCTTCTTAGGCTTAGTGGATTTTCGAGCTGAGTTTTTTGCCAGCTCGCTAGTTGCTGAGTTTCTTGCCTAGTTGGCTCAGGTTGTTTTTCTTTTCTGGCCTGGGCCTCTCAAAATCCCAGGGCTTATATCCCCTCCCGCTTGTTTCCCTGTGCTCCTCATTGGTCAGGAGCTGCCTTTGTAACAACCTAGACTTTGTGATGTCATCTGTGTTCACTGGGCCTTGATCAGGCCTCAGTCTAGAAATGGCCATATGTGGGCCTGGTCACCCTTATTACTTGATCCACTTTTTGAGGGTACTTGTGTCTTTCTACTAGACTCTAACATCCTAGCCAAAATTTGTGTTTCAACTAAAACATTGCCCTGTCATTAGCATACTACTCCAGGTGACCTTATTCTAGCTGTGCATCCTCTTTCAGCTCTTTCATATCCTTTGTAAACTGTCGGTTGCTGTTAGACTTGTGGTTTGTCAAGCTGATCATAATTCCTACTTTGTACATTCCTTATGGTTTCACCATCACTTTTCAATCATCACGTGAATACTTCTGCCCTATTAAGTTCATGCCCACAGTGTCTCACCCTCTCCCCCATCCCCATTGCCATCGCCTTCTGACCTGATCCCTCCCCCCACCACACTCACGGTTGTCTCAGACCGGTCTCCACCACAGTCATGGTTGGCTGACCTTAGATCTTCCCCACCACAGACATGGTTGCTGGCGCCTCCCCACTTACCAGCATTAATGCTGGGAATCCACTATGTCTGGAGGCCCCCAACCACCTTTTTGGCTTCCAAGGCTTTCCTTGTTCAGAGCCCATGAGGACACCTTTTCTGCCCTGTACCCCAGCCACCAACTCCCACCAGGGCCACTGCTCACATTGTCTCCATTGGAAACCATTCACCTGAAAACCCTGATTCAAACACCCATGCTAACCACAGCTTCCAACCCTCCAACCATTCTCCTGGATATTTTATAGACACCGTCCACTCAAAACAACGAACTGAGAGGAGTCAAAACCACTGACATTGCTTTAAACAGTTTAATAGCATTTGTTGATGACAACAGCGGGGCCTCCTCTGCTATTAGACGTTGTGGCTCTTGGCTTCATCTGTGAGGCTTCCCACCAGATTCTGCAACCCAGTCTTCAGCCATTCCTCCTGGGTCTAGGCATCTTGTCAAACAGAGAGGATGCATCTTTGAAAACGCGAGGGGGCTCACAGTTGTTGTCTCCTTCTCTCTCCCCATCTGGTAGGTTGTTGTCATCTTCACTGTTGTTGCTGGCCTCAGTGCCCACGAGCTCCAGGATGTAGTCGGTAAGGTAGTTGAGCATGGCAAGGAGGAAATCTGTTGTGGTGGAACCTAGGCATGGCGTGTACTGCTGCTCCTCCTGCAGAAGGCGGTACATATAACTCACAGGTAACTGTATATCAGGTCTAGAAGAATGGTTTTCAGGTTGACTGCCATCTTTGTAAAAGTTCTCTTGGTTCTTTTTCCCTGACATGATGGCTGCCTGATTCACTAGCTGGACTGGGTCTGTGAAGATGCCAGTACTCAGTCCTGTCCCTTGTATTCCTAGGTGCCTATGTGACATCATAGACTTCGTGATGTCATCAGTGCCCACTGGGCACCGATCAGGGCTCAGCCTAGAAATGTCTACCACAGAAACCTGGTCACTCTAATGACTGGGCCCTGATTTTGAGAACTTCCTATTTGAATTAACATTATAGAACTAAATGTCTATTTCAATTTGCCCTAACTGTAGGATGTCACTCCAGGTTATGTGAGACTTATGTTCTTTTTTGAGATCTTTTACAACCTTTTGTTTAGTTATGGGTCACTAATAAACATAGAAAATATATTTACCAGTAGAGGTTTGACAGTCCTTTTCCCTCCTCATGCTGTATTGTAGCCAGTTTTACCTTTATTTGCTCACTTAAATATGCAGGATCAATATTCCTGTGTCTACTCTTTGTATTCTCTTTTGAATCAGTTATAACATCTTTCTCTTTTAACACATGCTCATTCCATATATGCATAAGTGTTTAAAAAATGTTTTAACTACTTTGGAAGTAACAATGAAATACTCAATGCATTCCCTTGTCAGAGCCATATAGATAATGACAAGCACAACTTGTGCTCAGTTTAAGCCCAGATGATTCTTCCTAGGTTCTAAGATAGACTGCTTATTTTTTCTCATTTCAATTTTCCTCTCTGCTAATCTTGTTTCTGATTTTTGCATTATGCTTTGGTTCATTAAGAATCAATACCTTTCCCATTCCAAAAGGGAGAAAATAACTTTTTAAAAATTATATTATTGTTGTATTGGAGGTACACTGTGACATTTACAAAAGTTCTTACAGTTTATCATGGCTGAATCCACCCCCTCCATCTTTCTCCTTTATCCCCTCCTGCCCCCTATTCCTGGAATAGTTTCAACAGAGCTCATTTTTCCATTTTCATAGTGAGTATGTAATATATCCACCATACTCACCCTCCTACACCCTTTCCTTATATTCTCCCCTCCCACTGGCACCAACCCCCAGACAGGACCTTCCTGATCTCTGTTTTTGAAAAAAGGCATTTTTGTTTGTTTAAGATATCTATACATGGAGTTTAGTTGTGACATTTCGATGTATATATATATTATAACCCTAATTGATTCATCCCCTTTATTTTTCTACTTTCAACCTTAGCCATCTTCTTATGGTAAATTCGCCAGGTTTAAAATTTCTATATTCGTTATTGTACAGGAAGTACATCAACCAAATTCACCTTTTAAACTTCCTTCTTTAACCCTTCTTCTCCCATTAGTGACCTCCCCTTAGTGTAACCCGTTTTTCATAATATTGCTTGTATTTCTATAGTGTGTATCTCCCACATATGAGAGAAAACAAAAGAAAGTAGAAGGAAAAAAGGAGACTCCAATCCAAGCAATTTAAAAACTCAACTAAGGAAAACTCCACCAGGTTTCTGACCTGGCAATAATCTTCTGTGGTGTGAGATTCCTCCCTCTAATCCTGTTGATCCTATGACTTTACCTGGAACCATAGCTCTGCCCTCTGGGCCCTAGGATCTGCCCTTGAAGTCATCTACCCTTTATTTTGAATGGCCACATGAAGTTACATCTGAGTAGTCTGTCAAATTTTGGGAGTCCTACAGCCTTTTTTTCATTTCATCCTCTGTCACTTTCAGTCTAAGGTGACATTTTTTTCTACTAATACAACATACTCCACAATTTAAAAGTCTTCCATGTAACTGACAGGAATTCATTCCATTAGATGAGAGGCTCCTTCACAGATCCCTAATGGAAATATCCAATCTCTATTTCTTGCTTCAGCTGAGAAGCACACACCACATGTCTTCAAAGTACTCTGTGTGCAACTGAATGGTTTTTATCTTTTGATTCCCTCAAGGGCAGTAGCAAAAGTCACACCCTTGATTTCATCTCCAAAGGACCCTTCCTGATAGCAAATCCCCTAATTTGAATGTCTTTCGCAATGTGGATAGCCTGAGACTTTCTCATCTCATCAAATCCTGGTTCCTTTCTGATTAACAGTTCTTTCCTTAATCTATGTCCTTCCTCTAACATTTTACTATAACCAGTAAGAAAAGAAACAAGTCATGCCTTCAACATTTTGCCTGGAAATCTACTCAGCTAAATATCCAAGTTGATCACTTACAAGTTATTCTTTTCACATTACTATAGAGCAGAATTCGGCTAACATTTCTCCCCACTAGTACGAGCAGGACACCAATCTCCTCTACAGTTTCCAATATTTTGTTCCTAATTTCCTCCAAAGCGTTTACCAACAATACACATTTCTATAATAATTTGTTTATGATGGTTTAGGTGTTCTCTGCTGTACTCAACCATTATCCAATTCCCATTACACTTCCACTTTTCACAGCAGCAACACACTTCCAGGTACTAAAAGCTATATGTTAGGTTCCTATGGATGTTATAGTGAATTACCACAAGTGTAGTACCTTAAGACAATGCACATTTAGACTCTTACAGATTTGAAGGTCAGAATCCCCAAATCAGTGTCACTAGGCTGAGAGCAAGGTGTCACAGTATCATGCTCTCTCTGGAGGCTCTAGAGGAGAATCTATTCCTTGCCCTTCCCAGCTCATAGAGGTACATTCTTTGTGTTGTGGACCCTTACTTCATATTTACAGCCAGCAGCATAGCATCTTGATCTTTTTCTTCTTCTATGTCAAATCTATCTCTTCCTCTCTCTTATGTGGACTGTGTGATTGTAAGCTTCGATCAGATTATACAAAATAATCTCCTATCTCAAGAATCTTAGTCATATCTGTGAATTCTCTTGCCATGTAAGGTAACATTTACAGGTGCAAGGAGTTAGACTCTAGGTATCTTTGGGGGCCATTATTCAGCCTACCACATGAGATATTTCCAGGAAATTCTGGGAGGAAAGTGAGGAATTGAGGGAGAAAAGAGAAAAAGTGTTTATTAAGTAACTCAATATCACTGAAGAACTTTAGTGACCACTGTAGAAAACACACTTGTTTTCTACATAATGCCCTACCACTTTGGACTGTCATATGCTTGGGCAGAGTGGGCTCTGGTGAGCTAATAAAAGGCCTCACACGAAGAAATACAGGGTGATCTAGCACTTGAAAATAAGGAAAATATGCACTTAAATGCTACAGGTGGTAGATATATGGGCAGGACACTGACAATACATTGAACACCAAGAAATGTTTATGTATCCCCCTTACAAAGGCTTTTCCTTTCCACTTATCTCATGTCCATGGTTACATTCTTTAGTAAACAAATACTACTGGTGAAGTGGCTCAAGTGGTAGAGCACCTGCCTAGCAAACATGAGGCCCTGAGTTCAAACCCCAGTACTACCAAAAACAATACCCAAATACTTATTGTGCAGCTACTTGGCATCAGGTGCCAAGTCAGATATAAGATAGTAAATGTTAAGTGAAATAGGCATTACCTCATCCTATGGGTTATCCAGTCTAGTAGGAAAGATAGGTGTTAAACAGATACCCAAACAAATATGTACTATCGCCAGTGCTATTGACACTTTAGACTGGATAATAATTTGTTGTGGGGCAGGAGAGCTGTCCCTGGCATAATAGGATAGCAGTGTTCTTGGCCTCTATTCACTAGACAATAGTAACATCCTCCATTTCTGATGCTAAAAAGTATCCCCAGACATAGTCAAATGTCCCTTGGGGGAAAAATTATCCTTAATTAAGAACCACCTGTCCACATTTTAAAAACTGAGTTACTTTAAGATCAAGTGTGGGGCTATCATTTAGAGGAGTTACTCAAAGAATATCTTCTGAGAAAGTGACATTAAGCCTGTGAACTGGTAATGAGTGAGAGAAATAGTAACAGAACATTCCAGAAAGATATAATGGGCAAATTCTGAAACTGTTAAAGTAATTAGGGTGTTTTAAATGAGAGTTTGTAAGTATGCTCCAAACCTTACATCTACCACAAGTAATGAAGAATCTTGACTTTACTGGACTTCTTGGTATATGAACCTATCTCCCAAATCTAGAGGAATGTAAATCTAACTTTTATGTCCTTGATTAAATAAGATCAAATAGAAGGTTCTAAGAGGGTACAGGTGCAGAATGAATGCTCATATGCAGAAATGGCCACAATTCTCCCATTCTCTATAGCTACTCTGTGTGTTCCACTTTTGAAAATGCCTCCCGTAAAACATAATGCCTATATCCTCACCTCTTAAATCTGGGCTAGCCTCACTAATTACTTAGGGAAACAAATCGGGATGTGACGGTAGGGCAGTAATAGGCCTGGTCTTCATGAGACTTTATGGTTTTTTACTCTTGCCTGAAAAACCTACTTTTATCATGTCAACAATCATAAGCCCATATGTATGTGTGGGTGTGTGTGTGTGTTTGTGAATGTGTATATGTGTGTATCCTTTTTTATGACTGGATTGTATATATGTATATATACACATTATATATGTGTACATGTGTATATGTATAACTATACATGTGTGCATATATATGTATATATGTATACATATATATGAGAGGGGATTTACTAGGAGAATTGGCTCATGCAACTATGGAGGCTGAGAAGTTCCATGACATGCATGCTATTTGTAAGCTAGAGATCCTGGAATACTGGTACTATGGCTCAGTTCAAGTCCAAAAGCCTCAGAACTAGGAAAGCTGAGGGTGTAACTCTCAGCCTGAGATCAAAGGTCTGACAGTTTGGGGACTACTGGTCAAGTTCTAGAGCCTCAAGACTGGAGAGCCTGGTTTTCTGATGTCCAAGGGCACAAGAATGACAGTGTCCCAGCTCCAGATGAGAAACAGAGAAAATCCTTTTCTCTGGTTTGTTCTAGTCAGGCAGCTAGCTGACTGGATGGTACCTACCCATGTATTGGGCAGGTCGTCCTCACTCAGTACACTGATTCATATACAAACCTCCTTGAGAAACACACTTACAGACATACTCACAAGTGATGCTTTGTCAGTT